TTTGTTATTTTGGATGACCCGCAGCTTACATTGAACTTAAATAAATCTTTTTGGGGTTCCCATTTGGAGTCTTAATCTACCTTTCATTCATTCATACTAAGAACTTTATTGTCACCAGTGTCTTCCACCGTTTCTATTATTTCCGAATTGTTGGAAATCCATTTTCTTAAATTAAATCCAACTTTTAGTAGTTCGTTTGAAATTAATTTAATTAAATTTTTTACGTCTTTTATAGAATACGCGCCAGTCATTAGGTCATCCATGTAGAAATCATTCCTAATTATTTCACTAATTTTTTTGTTCTGGCATTTGTCCGCTATATCCACTAGAACCCTGGTGGCCAAATATGGAGCAGATGCAGTACCATAAGTGACGGTTGTCAATTTATAATTTTTAATTTTTTCCACCGGAGAATTTCTCCATAAAATGTATTGATATTTTTGATCTTTTTCAATTATTTTTATCTGACGGTACATTTTTTCGATGTCCGCAGATACAACATATTCCCATTTTCTCCACTTAATAATGATATCAAAAATATCTTTTTGAACTCGTGGACCAATCCACATTATATCATTTAAGTTTTTATTATTAGGAGTTTTGGCTGAAGCGTCCAAAACTACTCTTAGCTTGGTCGTTAGGCTTGAATCCCTAATAGCTGCCTGATGTGGTAAAAAATATTTACCTTCATTATTTACTTCGACAATATGTCTAAATCATATATTCATTCATGAATTTAGTACAGTCCACCTTAAGTTTTTGATTCCGTTCTAACTTTTTCTCAAAATTCATAAAACGAGCTATTGTTGTTTTCTTTGAATCTCCTAAGGTGACATCTTCTTTAAATGGAATTGACACAATGTATCGCCCATCTGAATCTTTCTTTGTTGTTCTTATGAAGTTGTTTTCACATAATTCAGATTCGATATCATTTTTGTCTTCTTCTTCCATTTCCCAATATCGATCCATATCTTTTAATTCGATAGTGGTTGCAACAATTGCCTCTTTTCCTTTCGATTTTTTACACCCAGAGACAATCCACTCGAAATCCGTTTTTTGACCCAAGAGCCCATTGATTTTAACAATTCCATTCTGTAGAATATGAGCGTATAAATCTGCCCAATTATAAGGTCAACACGGCCAGGTTTATTAAAATCGGGGTCAGCTAAATTATACTTTTCCCATTTCGATTTGTCAACATTCACGGTGTTGACTGGAAGAGCCTTCATTAATTTTGGCAGTATTATGGCTTCAACCTTTAACATTTTTTGTAAATCTTCACTTTTAATTTGAAGATTTACTTTGTGCTTCGATATGCACTTCCCCGTGGACGATACGCCACTGATCTCTGTTTGAGATCGAATTTTTTTTAATTTCAGAATCTGCGCAGATACTTTTGAAATAATTGTACTTTGTGACCCACTGTCAATCAAAGCCCTCAATGTTTCAAATTCTCCATTAGAAGATTTGATTTCAACACGCGCTGTAGCTAACAACGCTTGTTCGATGTCATGCAAGTGTTAACTTTTTCACTTTTTTGATTGTTTACATAATTAATATGTAGCATGCTATGGTGATTTCTTTTGCACAACGAACATGATGTTTCGCTAGTGCATTTTTTACTATGTGTGTGTTTTAGGCATTTAAAACACAGAAACGCTTTTTTAACTTTATCCATTCTTTCAGATGGATTTAAAGCATTAAATTGTGACATTGAAATATTGTGTGTCCCATACCTTTGCAAATGGGACAACTATTAGCAGACAACTCTTTTATGTTGTTGCTAAATATTTTTTTAGCAGGTTTTTCCTCCTGAATCGAGCCTATCGAATTTAATCGTTGCTCGCAAAAATCCATGACGTCGGATAATTTTTGAATTTCCTTGTATTTCTTAACATGGCTCTCATATAATTAGAGCCTCTTTATTTAATTTTCTGATAATTATATGTGCAAAGATTACATCAACCTCATCAGATAATTGTGCCTTTAATTTTATCATGTGAATTGACTCATTTATAGTGTCAATAAACATTCTTAACTGCCTAACTGAGTCCAAACTTAAATTTTGTAGCTCAAGAAGGCGGTTCAATTGATCGGAAAATATTTTCCTTTTATCTTCATACCGCTTGGTTAACAATTCCCAAGCGTTCACATAATTTTTCCCTGAACCTAATAATAAGTGAGAAACTACATTTCTCGCTTCTCCCTTAAGTGAAATTTTAAGGTAATTAAATTTTAAGGTAGGACTTAGATCCTCTCTTAAATGAATAGGTTCGGTAAATAACTCATAAAACAGGTCCCACCCTTTGGAGTCCCCAAAGAATGTGGGTACCTTAATTTTTGGAAGTGTTGGCAAATCATCAATTTTTTTATTTGTAACTTCTCCCATTTTTGGCACATTATCCTTAAGTTTTTTCTTCATGATTTTAGTTACAGTTAACACGTCAAATTCTAATTCATTTAAAACATCATACATATCATACATATCAATAGATTCAATCATTTCGTCTTCTTTTATACCAACTACCTTTCTCCAATAAAACATTAACTTTTCTATCCTGAATTCCAAATTTTCCTTTTTTCCGTCATCTATAGCATTAAAAGTTTCATCTAAATACCTTTTTAACTGCTCTATTGATTTTGAAAGTTTGCTAACAGTTTTCGTACCATCCATATCGGAACCAGAAATCTTTTGCTTCTGCTCAGAACATGACGCTTTCTGTTCTTGTTCCATATCGACACTTTCACTCATCTGATTCTGACTATCAACTGTACTTTGTATTCTTCCTATTATACCCATCATAGCTGCATAGTGGTTTTTCTTAAAATAGTCGTGATCGACTACACCAATTTTTAAGAGCATATCGTTGTTATTCATACATTCTGCTGTCAACAATTTAACTTCTTTAACCTGCTCACTACTTAAAGTTTCAGATTCTTCTAATACCCTTATCATGGAAGTTATTTCTACCTGCCTTTTTATTAAGGCTATTGTCTCTTTGGACATCATGATGTTTTTTTTTTTAATGTTAAGTATAAATATGTGAAAAATTTAAATGTTAACTAAAATTTATTTTACACTATATATGTATATATATTTTTTTTAATCTTAAATGAAACTTAGCTGAAGAATCTGAGGTTGTAGTCGGAAGTCGATGCTGACTGCAGTTTGTAATGAGGGGCTGCAGTTTGTAGTTGTTGCTGTAGTTTCTGTGGCTGCAGATTGAAGTCGTCGCTGTGGGGCTGCAGATCTTAGTTTTTTTTTTTCGGTGTTGCAGATGGTGTAGCTGCGGCTGCGATTTATTGTTACACTGTTTTCTTTTTTTAACTTTGTTACTTTGGTGTTGGTTGATTTCTTTTCTGTCACTGATGATTTTATTTTTGTAGACGAATTTTACACAAAAACATAAAAGAATTTTGTATATCTTTTTGCTTTTTTTTTATATACTCTGTACCTTACCAACAAGAGGGGATACTTACCAACAGTGTGTGAGCACACTGGAGCTCTGGTAACAAAATAAGATAACACATGTGTGTACAATTGGTGTGACATCGGCGACCAACGCATCGCAGACATCTGTCAGCGTGGGACCTTTTTAAGAGATTTCTCGGCTGTGCACTTAAGAACTAGACAATTTATGAGTTTGTGTCTAAATATCAATTTACATTGGTGTACAAGTGCGGTCGTTAAATTGGTTGTTATTACCCTTCATGCTTTAGAGCATTCTAAACATTCCGCAAAAGTCCAAGAAAGGTGCTGAGATGTATTACTTTACAATTTTAATTTTCTTAATGTCTATTTTTGTATTCACATATACATACATACATACATAGGTGTAATACCTTAAAATATGCTTTTTTTATTGTTTGTTTTAACTAACCATGCTTTCCGGTATGACAATGCCTTGCAATTGCCGCCTTACATTTATTTTTCTTACAAAATATACAAATAAAATTACAGTTATTATTATTACTAAAATTAAAGATGTGTGCCCGGAAAGATGGTGAAATTTTAGTTCTTTTAATTCTAGCTTGTGCGTTTTCAAATAATTTAATTCATTTTGTATGCGGTTTATTTCGTCTGTATGATTAATAATTGGTGAGTCTAATTGGTTCCAAACAATCTTGGGTATTTCGCTGATTTCTCCTATATATGACAAAGACAATGTTCCCTGATCTTCTGTTTCTATACTGTGATGAGGAATCAGAATCTTATCATTAACTCGAGCAGTACAATCCGACCTAATTGTTAAAATCCCCTGTTCCGGCAATTCTACTATCTCTAAGCTTGTGGTGCCGCATTGTATCCTAGCCCTTGCATTATTCTCAACCTTAAAAAACCAACTACTTTTTCTTTCCAACTCTATCTAATACGACTTGCTCTCCACTATTGACTTATACTTATATGCAATTTGATGCTCTATTTGGTTTGAGAGGCTTCAAGTCACAACTGCCATCGCTGGCACTACTCCAAGGCCAACTTCCTTCACAAACTCTTTTATTAGATTGCCACCTTTGGCACTTATTGAGGGTAGATTCTTTCATAAGGTGATATGCATCTATCTCGAAGTTATAAACTAAATACTGTACATCGACGTGCACCATAATCATGCGTTCTTCAATTCTGATTGGTATTGGAACAACTTTAAATAACGCTGACGCATGTCGACCAAACAAAGGTATCTTCGCGTATATTATAAGTCTTTTGTCAAAAAATAAGCTAGGGGCTGTTAGCAGAGAATAAACTTCTTTTAGCTCTGTGCCAGTTCTTTTCCCTGGCAAAACATAATTTTCTGATAAATTATCTTTTTTTTTTTAAATCTCACCCTTTAATTGACTGGGCTTTAAAATGTTAGTATTAAGTCGACCATGATTAATATCTATTAATAAGCTTATGATTCCAGATTGTATTTTCTCGCATTCATCTATTATGTTACTTAATTGTTTGGTTATCATGAAGAATTTGATAGATTCTCTGTACACATAATATGATTCTTGTGTTGAAAATTACCATTACTATCAATGCACGCATGTATTGACACACATATGTATATTTACATGTATGGGTGAGAGACGTGTCGAAGCAACGTCTTCTCATCTTCTCTTTATTTTTTGTTTTCTTCTTTGGTTTCCATCTGCCTGCGAGCAGAACTTCTCAGTCAGTCACAAATAAACATTGCAAATGAACGAACGCAACGGCTACGTTTTTTCGGTTAAAATATAATTTCCACGGCATTGGTCAAACTCTGTTTAACAGGTTATGGGCCCAGGATTGGATATTTAGATCGGAAAATTAAAGAGATTGTTGTAGTTAGGAACTAAAAACATCGGTGTGACTCAGAAAGAAAACGATAATCAGCTATGAGCGGAATTTATCAAATAGACAAATTGGAGGAGGGAAACTATGACTCATGGTCCATTCAAATGCGGTCTGTGTTGGTGCACTCGGAGTTGTGGAGTGTGGCATCTGGTGAAGCATCTGGTGATGTCACAGCATCGGATGTCCCTGAAGGTGCAAGGGCCAAGGATGAGAAGGCACTGGCAATGATCACGCTATGTGTGAAAACTTCACAATTGGGATACATCAAGAAGAACTGCAAAAAGTCGGCTGAGGCATGGAAAAAATTAAAAGATGTCCATCAACCAAGTGGACCAGTACGAAAGGTTCAACTGTACAAGAAATTGCTAAGCAAGCGCATGGACCAGAGGCAAAGCATTTCAAGCTACATAAACGAATTTATTGATATTCTCGATGGCCTTAGTTCGGTAAGAATCGACCTTAATGATGAACTTCGCACAATTGTTTTGTTGTCGAGCCTTCCAGAACATTATGAAAATTTTGTAGTCGCCATAGAGACGCGCGACAGTCGACGTTCTATGTATAAAACTGAAAGAAGAAGGCGAGAGAAAGGGAAATTCAGAAGAACAAAAGGAATGCGCAAAAGCATTTGCTGCGACGCAGAAGCCGGTCGTTCAGAGAGCGCAAAAGAAGAGAAACAAAACAATTATATGTTTCAAGTGTGGTGAGCACGGGCATATGAAGGCTCAGTGTAAGAAAGAGAGCTCAAACGAAGGAAAATCAGCAAGAGGAGAGAACAAGCAGTGCAGCCTATTAAATGCGATGGACGCAGATAATTTGAAAAATAGTATGTGGTGTTTGGATAGTGGTGCGACAAGCCATATGTGTTGTGATAAGCAGTTATTCACAAAGTTAGAAAAACACACAGAACTGATTGGCCTGGCTGACTCAGGTTTTCTAAAAGCTGAAGGGAAAGGAGAGGTTCAGCTGAAGACAGATATATGTACGCTGTCGTTAAAAGATGTTCTCTATGTTCCCAAAATGAATAGAAATTTTTTCTCCGTGAGCAGCGCAGTAAACCATAAATGTTTTGTCACTTTTGGGCAAGAATATGCGAAAGTAGTCCAGGACGGTGATTGTATTATAAAGGCAAACAAGGTTGGAAACTTATATATGCTTCAAGGAACACAAAACAGCTGTTTTGCTGCGATTAAGGCTGATGGTGCTTTGTGGCATGAAAGGTATGGCCATTTGAATATCAGCAGTATGAAAGAGTTACAAACCAAAGGAATGGTGATTGAAAGTATGGTTTTCCCAGCAAGTATGAGTTGTAAAACTTGCATGCTCAGCAAGATTCATGCGCAGCCATTTCCTGTTGCATCCACCAACAGAGCGCAAGACATTTTGAAATTAATTCATGCAGATGTGTGCGGACCATTTGGCACACAATCACTTGCTGGATCGAAGTACTTTCTAAGCTTCATCGATGATAAATCAAGACGTATATTTGTGTACTTTCTACGGCGGAAGGATGAAGTCTTCAATAAGTTTGTCGAGTTTAACACACTGGTTGAACGGCAAACGGGAAAAAACCTTTAATGTATCCGGAGCGACAATGGCGGTGAATTTGTCAACAAATCGTTTGATGAATTTTTGAAGAACCATGGGATCGAGAGGCAGCTGACAGTTGCTTACACTCCACAACAAAACGGCGTTGCTGAGAGAGCAAACCGCACCCTGGTAGAGATGTCAAGGTGTATGCTGGTCCAGTCAGGATTAGGCGAATCCTTGTGGGCTGAGGCAGTCAACGCAGCTGTGTATGTACGGAATCGATCACCAACAAGTGCGCTGACCAGTATGACGCCTATGGAAGCGTGGACTGGTAAGAAACCTTTTGTTGGTCATCTAAAAGTTTTTGGCTCCATTGCAGTTGCCTTGGACAAGGGTCCAAGGAAGATAAGCTTCAACCAAAAGGCAAAGAATATCGCATGATTGGGTATTCGGTAGCGGCTAAAGGCTATCGACTGTATGATCCGGTGTCCCATCAGGTGATTGAGAGGCGAGATGTCCTCTTTAACGATCTTCAAGGCGACAGGGATGCAGTCGCAATCGAGTTTCCTATGAAGGAAGTTGCCGTGAAGTCGGAAGGTACTGAAGGAAACGCTGATGAGGGTGACAGCGACGACCCTGATGAGAATGACAGCAGCGATGGAGGAAGCAATGTCGACGACAATACCAGTAGCAGCGACTCTAACGCCTACGAGAGCGCAACTGAGAAAGCAGACTCAGATGATACGGTTCCTCGTGTTGGACCTGGCAGACCAAGGCTGATTCGAACAGGCAAACCTGACCGCCCGAGAAAGGAGTACAACATCCTTGGTTCTCTGGTTGCCAGCAACGTGAAGATTCCATTATCCTATGAGGAGGCATTGAAAAGTACTCAAGCATCACAGTGGTCCGAAGCGATGCAACGTGAATATGATTCACTACTGGCGAACCAGACATGGCAGTTGGCAGACCTACCAACAGATCATCGGGCAGTTGGATGCAAATGGGTGTATAGCCTGAAACGCGGTAAAGATGGCCAGATTGAGCGGTTCAAAGCACGGTTGGTAGCAAAAGGTTGCTCCAGCAGTATGGCATAAACTATGCCGAAACATTTTCACCAGTTTGCAGACTGGAGAGCGTGCGATTTATTCTCGCTCTAGCAGCAGAATTGAAATTGTTTGTCAACCAAATGGATGTGTGCACGGCATACCTCAACAGTGACCTGAGTGATACGGTGTACATGAAGCAACCACAAGGGTACATTGAACGATCTCATCCAACTAAGGCGTTGTTGCTTAAAAAGGCAATATATGGATTGAAGCAATCAGGAAGGGAATGGAATGCTAAACTAAATGGCGTCCTTATTAAATTGGGATTTGTTGCCTGCGATAATGAGCCTTGTCTCTACCAGCAAATAGGGAAAGGTAACTTATCGTTAATCCTGGTATATGTTGACGATTTACTTATAGCATGCCAATCCAAAGAAGACTTGCTAAGTATTAAATCGGATATTTCCAATTCGTTCGAATGCGTTGACAAAGGTGTTCCAGAGCTATTTTTGAGTATGGAGGTGCACCGTGAAGGTGAGCTTGGGCCTATCACCATAGGCCATTCGCAATATATCAAGGAACTATTGCAAGCTCACGGCATGGAGAAATGTAGACCAGTGGCTACTCCGTTGGATGCGGGTTTCCAGGTAGATTGTACTGATTGCAGTGTCAAAGAGTTGATCCTGTCAAGTATCAATCCATGATTGGTGAGCTGATGTGGCTGGCACTCACAACCAGACCAGACATTTTGCATTCAGTTGCAAAGTTGGCTCAGAGAAATCAAGATCCGCACGCTGAGCATCTGGCTGGTGTAAGACACATTCTAAGGTACCTAGGAGCAACGGTCAATTTCAAATTACACTACAAAGAGTTTCATCAGCCTCTGACTGGATATGTGGATGCGGATTGGGGCGGAGACCGAAGTCCTATACGGGCTACGTTTATTTTTTGACAGGTGGTCCGATTTCTTGGCGATCCGAGAAACAACGAAGCGTGGCACTTAGCAGCACAGAAGCAGAATATATGGCACTGTCGGCTGCATGTAAGGAATCCATATTCTTACGGCGCTTGATTATCGAAATCGGTTGTGGAGATAAAACTACAGCAACTACCCTCTATGGCGATAATCTGAGCGCGCAGGAGCTGGCTAAGAACCCAGTTTATCACTCAAGGACCAAGCATATTGATATAAGATACCATTTCGTTCGTCAGGTTGTAGAAGAGGGTCAAGTTAACTTAAAGTATGCTAGTACAAACGATATGATTGCTGATGTCTTGACCAAGAATCTCCCTAAGAGAAAGCATGTTGAATTTACTAAAATGTTAAGTTTAAATTGAACCAAATGAATTTGTTAGCATGCTCGCATTGAGGAAGGGTGTTGAAAATTACCATTACTATCAATGCACGCATGTATTGACACACATATGTATATTTACATGTATGGGTGAGAGACGTGTCGAAGCAACGTCTTCTCATCTTCTCTTTATTTTTTGTTTTCTTCTTTGGTTTCCATCTGCCTGCGAGCAGAACTTCTCAGTCAGTCACAAATAAACATTGCAAATGAAGGAACGCAACGGCTACGTTTTTTCGGTTAAAATATAATTTCCACGGCATTGGTCAAACTCTGTTCAACATCTTGTAGTGTAGCAGTCATATTCTCAATTCGCGTATTCATTCCCTTTAAATTCCTATTTACCTCATCAGTGGTTGTTTTTAAAATGTTTGTTGTAGAATCGATTAAAGAAGTTTGTTTCTTACTTAGCTCATTCAGATTGTGCTGATTGCTTAATAAGTTTTTCATATTATCCTCCATTTGAACCCTATCGTCTTCATCCATTATCCCAAATAAAATATGATATCGGGATCCCATAAATCCAAATGGAGCTCGCTTATTTCGTGCCCTGCTTTGAGCCATGAACAGTTTGGTGTTTTCTTCCAAGTCTAACATTTTCTTTTCTGTATTTTCCAAAACTAAAAGGCATTGGTCTTCGAAAGTATGAAGCCTTTCGCAAATCAATTTCATTTTCGGAACCAAATCTTTACCCTTTTTTAGCATCTCAAAATAGGTGTCCATATTATAGAAAATTATTAGATTCCAAGAGGAGGCTACTATTTTAACATCCCCCATTGGATCTAAATATATTGCCGAAGTCTTATTTACTTTTTCTATTGCATATTTTGGTTTATCAACCTTGGGTGATGCGTTAGAAAATTGACAACTTAATATAAATAACAACATGGCCATTATAAACCCGAGTTTTGACATTCTCGATGAATTTCTAGTCTGCCTTTTTTGCTGGATCTCTTCAGTGTCAGCCTCAACCTTGGCGACAGACTTAATTCCGTCTAAGGGACAAATTTTACTGGTGGTACTAGTGATAAATCCATCTTGCAATTTTACCTCTACCACTCTGACCTTTTCATCTTTGCCTTTATGGATTTTTTCCACCTTTCCTATTGGCCATCTGGCTGGATGACAATTTTCATCTTTTAAGAGGACAATTTGTCCTTCTTCTATATTAGGACTTTCCCTCTTCCATTTGTGCCTCTGCTGAAGAGTATGCAAATACTCCTCTTTCCACTTCACCCAGAAATCTCTTTTTATCTTTTGGATTAGTTTCCACCTATCTAGATTTACAATTTTTTCATGTGTCATTGGCTCCACTAAATCTAATGGTGGTCTTACAATCAAAAAATGACCTGGGGTAAGAACCTCTTGTTGATCAACTCCATTTTCTGCAGAATATAAAGGTCTTGAGTTCAAACATGCCTCTATTTGACACAAGAGCGTTGACATCTCTTCGTATGTTAGGCTGTTGTCCCCGATAACCCTTTTAAGATAATACTTCATGGATTTTACTCCAGCCTCCCAGATACCTCCGAAGTGAGGTCCTGCCGACATACTCAGACAGGATACGATACGACAACCGCACGACGCGCCCCACCGCATCGAACCACAAACCAAACGCCCCCCCTCCATGCAACCGACTGTTGGGCCATGCACAGGCCCCAACACGCACCGATCGGCTCGCTCTTCACTTTGCCTGTATGAGAGGCAGCTTATGACTTTATTCAATTAGGGCGTACTTAATGCGGAAAATTTGCTTTCATTTTGAACCGAAAAAAATTGCATTTTCCTTTGGGGTTCCATTTTTTACACTTTCAGAATTCCTGGAGAGGGTAAATATCTTTCATTTAATTAAATTTAGATTTAAATAAAATTTAATTCGGGATTCGTTGTGAGAATACAATTCATTCCTTTTGGGATTCGATTTATACCTTTTTTGAGTTTCTGTACAGGTAAATATCTTAACGTTTATTAAATCGGAAATGCCTTAAGACTTTGTTTTATACATTTTTGGAATTCTTGAAGACAAACTTAACTTC